TAACGAGGTGCTTTTCGTCCGTCATCGACAGTGATCGACGCGTCGCTATCTGTTCAATACAGCCAGCAGTAAAGGTATACAGCACGCGATGTACAGCGGGGCCGCGTACATACTGACATGTACTGGCTGGATTGATGACTCCTTGGCATGGCGAGGGCATCCGCTGCTCAGTGTTCGACCGAGCCTCGCGGGAGGCTGCGGAACCCCGCGCGTGCTGCTGCGTGCTATCTATCCGCCTGTGGGGATCAGCGCAGCTCTATTATCATCGACTATTAGAGATATTTGTCGCCAGCTACTAGTGCTGGGTGTGTGCGTGTGCGTGTGCGTGTGCGTGCGTGTGCGTGCGTGTACGTGTGTGTGCGTGTGTGTGCGTGCGTGCGTGCGTGCGTGCGCGCGTGTGTGTGTGTGTGTATGTGTGTGTATGCGTGTGTGTGGGTGTGTGCATGTGCGTGTGTGTGTCTGTGTGCGCGTGTATGTGCGTGTGCTTGTGCGTAAATTGTTTTAACCGATACTGCACGTACTTCGCATGCGGCGTGTTCCGGCATGGCTTGTGAATCGATAATGGCATTATTATTTGCGTATTCGGCATTCCCGTGGACAGACAGCTGCGAGTAATTGAGACGGTATATAGCTGTGCGCTAAGAAGCTGTAGTGAGTATTATGAAAGTGAAACAGCTCGGTCGCTAGTCGGTACAGCGACAATTCCAAGCCAATCTCTGGATTTTGAGAATTCTCGTGTGCGGTCACAGTAAACTATAATAATAATAATAAAACTAAAAATAACTAAAAAAGCAGAAATGCATCATCTTATATGTATATTAGTGGTGGCATGTGTTCATAGTAATAAGAAGATTGGTAAATATGCTACGTCCGTATACGTTTACTATCCTGAATGTCTCTTAATATTGGCAAGGCCCGCACCGTGTCCGATCGGTAAATGTAGGTGTATGCAGTATAGAGATGGAATAGATGAAGTAGAAATTCATCGATTATTGGCGGGATGGACACAAGTTTAGTTTCATCGTTGAGCACAAGAGCACGTATATTTTATTTTGGTATAAACGTAAGGTTTATCGAAATATTGTCGAGGTGAATATCTTCAACTGCGTGACGTCATTAAAAAGACCTGTTGACGTCACTGACATAACTGACGCGTCATGACGGGGATCGTACTATATTGCTTTCGCGTACGTGCGCGTACAGAACCTCGCTCGCTCTTCGACGGACGCGCGCACACGGATTCATCCGACTGCTGCCCAAATATTGTCCGTGTTCGCTCATCCGTGGGCAAACAGAGTCAGCCAGGCCGCGCTGGCAAGTGGTGTTGCTGGCGATGCGAGATGGATCATTACATTTCAATGTATACGTGCGTGTGCGTGTGCGTGCCTGCGTGCGTGCGTGTGTGTGTGTGTACGTGCGGGCGCGCGTATGCGTGTGTCCGTGTATGTGTGTGCGCGTGCGTACGTGCATGCGTGTGTATGCGTGCATGCGTGTGTATGCGTGCGTGCGTCAGGTGTTCAGCACGGCTCTGTCACTGAGTTGGAACGTGTCCGTGTTTAGCATGCACCACAGTGTGTGTGTGTGCGGGTATGGTGGTAGGTTGTTGGGTTCAGGCATAGAACGTATATATATGTCAAGAGGTGTAATCTATGCATTGCCTGCACTCGACACCATACTTATGACATTCTATGCCTGTGAACCTGATTTCTGTGAGCGACGCTCATTGAGCGTATATTAATGTCGTGTATTTGTGTTTCATTGGTGCGGTCTAGTCGCCAGAAGTACTCACCCAAGACATGAAAAGTGAACCTATTTGAAAATGAAAGTGTTTTTTTCTCAGTGTGGTCAGGGCTTCGAATAACAGATAGGTAATGGCTTATTTTAAAAACATTAATTATAGTATTAATTTCATCAACTTAAGGGCGTGAGCCTTAGTAAACTCACAAGAACCCGAAGTTTCAAATTGATTACGTTTAAGAGTCTGAGATGCAGAAATTCTTAATGATGCTCTTTATGTGTTTACATTTGTGTTCTCATTGATACACGGTATAACGCACAGTATCTGACAATATACACATACAGTACGAAACTGTTCACTGGGTCTACTCGTTTCTCTCACCATTCAGTGTACTTGCGCATTTTCCGTAGTCACGAAAATGCAGTCTTGCCGTAACAAAAAGGAAGAGGTCCTACCTAATCAAATTGATCCATTACTGCAAACTCATTTGAGTTAGTAAGTTCAATAATCCGAGGTAGGCAACCGTTTAGAAAATGTTCTCATTAAAGTACGGGCGAAATTTTATACTGCATTAATTTCCTGTGTATATGCCATATGCAATAGGGCAGTGCATCCTCTTACTGTGGACTTTAAAATTCTGCTCTTAAAACCTCCGTGGGTGGCCACACTGGTGTTGGCAGTTATCGGACAAAGAAATTGCCTAATCTTTGGCTAGTTCTTAGAACACTTGCGGCTCCCTACTATCAAACCGTGTCTTAGCGCGATCCCGTTGATGTTGCTGCTACACCTCGAATATGTCTTGGCTGGATTGAGCGACATTAAAACTCCGATTACCCATGCAAGCGCGAGCAAAGCTGTGGCTAAACCCGCCCTCAAGTGCTGCGTGCGTGCTGCCTGCGCTGACACTTTATGTGGTGTGGACTGAAATCGCGTAAGCCGATCGTCCGCCGTACTGCAAAATCAAACAAACGCAGTACAGGTGCTGTTGATGGGATAGCGTTTACATCGTGAGGTGGTGACAGAAAGGTGCGGCATCATGTGAGAAGAGCATTTTAGGTGCACCTGACGCCTAGCTAACATCGAAATCGCTTGATGAAATTTCGGTTATTGCATCAACAGTCGCTAGGAAAAAGCTTTAAATCAGCTACTAGCCAAATGCTGAACTATTTCTCTCAACCACGGCTGCGTGTGGATTACACACGTGTTGACACTGCCTTTGAGGCGCAATTTGCAAACGGAATGAGCTAGTTATCCTCTCACGCCTTAAAATGGTAGTAGTTAATTGTTAAAAAACTACAAACGCCATATCCAGTACTTATATTTTATTTTGGCTTCTGAAACTATCATATGGTAATGTGTAAGGTTGCATCGAGGCCGTGATCGCATAGTGGTTAGTACCTTGCGTTGTGCCCGCAATAACCCAGGTTCGAATCCTGGTCACGGCACCAAATATAATGAAAGGTACTGCTACCTTTATCTGCAATAAAACCTCGCAATAACTCTTACAGTCGCATTTTGTACGTGTGCCCATACGCTGCGATCTGCGTAGTATAGAGTTGGTGTTCTTCTTGCATTTGCGTAGAGTGTACGTGGCAGCTGTGGCACTGTTAGCATGTTTATTACACGATGTTCTTTGTTGCTTTGTTCTGTAAGACCTTCATGTGAAGTGCAGCGTGCCGCATGCAGATGAAAAAACGTGATTTTAATGAGACACCGGCTATGCGCGCACCTGCCGCTAGCGCCGCTGATCGTCAACTCGGTTACTCAGCAACCCGCAAGTAGTCAAGTCCCTTGGTGCAAAATATGGGCCGAATCGTTACAGGAGTGACAAAAGTCTCAAACTCGGCACAGTTGTAGCTTATGGCAGTACTATAATTATTACAGGGGGTGTCCAATGCAGATATTCCTTAGAAGTGAATTACAGATGATTAAATGCTCGAACCACCCGACTCCGAACCCCCCTACAGCGCCCGCCAGTGGCCCAGTACACACAGTACAGGCGGGCCGGTAGGGGGGTTCGGAGTCGGGTGGTTCGAACACTTAATCAGCTGTAATTTACTTCCGCGCCATATATTTGCTAATATATTGACTAATCGTCAATAAACTCAATATTCACAGAGAGTATAGCTAAGACATGTGTCTATAGGTATCTAGAATTTTAGAAATATAACTCAAATCCTTCGCGAGATATTAGAGTTAGTACACTATCCTACGGGCCATAGCCGCGCGTATATATTAGCCTATGAGCGATACCGTGCGTATATTTTTGGTAATTAAAATTAAACTATTCGTGCTTTAACAAACTCAAAATTTACAGAGACCATAGCTAAGAAAGAAGTCAGGAGGAGAGAATGGAACTGTAATTTGAAATGTGTATGTGTGTACAGGACTCGGTGTCCTCAGAGCCTAATCTTCGAACGAGAATGTGATTGGTTTGATTTCTGGCAATGCGTGATTAGTCGTTTGGAATAAATTCAGCTGTCATGGGTGTTTCTTCAGCTGCTCTGTTTCCAGCGATTTGGCCGACCTGAGCGATTGATCGGTGTGAGCAACGCGAGTCACTACTAGATGTGAGCGGTGAGAGAATTTAATCACATTCTCGGTCTTCGCCGTTTGTGAAATACGGATGTGGGGTGCGCAGCCATGTGATTCTCGCTCGGTTAACACAAGTGAATGGAATATGGCCGCACGCTTGGTCAGCAGTACAGTACCGATCGGTTTTGAGTCAGTGGCTGTCATGTTCAGTTATCTGTAGCTTACAGGACGTGGATGGTTCAAGTAGTGGTCAGGTGTTGTGTTAGTTTGCCTTCGATGGTTAAGGGGTGGTCAGGTGATGTGTTAGTTTGCCTTCGATGGTTAAGGGGTGGTGAGGTGTTGTGTTAGTTTGCCTTCGATGGTTAAGGGGTGGTCAGGTGTTGTGTTAGTTTGCCTTTGATGGTTAAGGGGTGGTGAGGTGATGTGTTAGCTTGCCTTGGATGGTTAGGGGGTGGTCAGGTGTTGTGTTAGTTTGCCTTCGATGGTTAAGGGGTGGTGAGGTGTTGTGTTAGTT